GTCGTGATTCTCTGCTAGCGCTGTGTGCGCCACATACGTGTGAAATACTGCCGTTGCTTCAGCCGGGTGATCGGGAGAGGGACCTGGTTTTGTTCAAAGATACACCCGAAAAAGGAGACTCATCCTGTGATGGAGTTTCATGCCTGTCTGACAGAATGACAGTGTAGGTTTAGTTGGGGCACCGAGTGGGTGGGATGCGGAAGGGAAGGCGGGGGTGCAACTGAAGCAAGATGCGCTGGTGTGTGCTGGAGATGAGCCCATCTAGTTTGAGGTCTGATCAGCTTATCTGCTTAAGCAGTAAAATGTCACTCTTGGTATGTTAGTAATCTCTGCTGGCCATCAGCCTGATAAGATTTTGAATTTAACCTTTCTTGCGATACTGTCTGTTGTAGGCTGTGTTTCGTGTTAGGATAAAAGACCCTGCCCCAAGATATGAACAACTTGAATCTTTTGTACCAAACAGCTAAGAACCCCGCCAAGTGCGTGCTGTTTTCGGAGTTGGGTACAACATAAATGCCTTAAAAATCTAATAAAACCCCCTATCCAGTGATGAGAGCCAACTTAGAGGTTCAACAGAGACTAAAGGCCAAATTTACAAACCTCCTCCGTGGGAAATTATGTTAACAATTTCATGGAAACTTCTTAAAAGCGTAGAGGTTGTTGCTACTAATAGGATTTCTTCTATGGTCAGAGAAACAGGTTTCAGTGTAAGGAAACAATTATGTCAAATACATGCACGTTCGTCAGCAGTGGTTTTGCCTGCTGGAAAATGTGATGGGTCTCAGATTTTGCCTGGCTAACTGCTTGGGTCAAAAAAATAGGTTTGGAGCAGACAACCATGTTATTGAAATACCGTGATAGAAATCTGTGTGAAACTGGCATGCCTGGTTTAGCAATGCTTGTAACCTCCCACTTCTGCAAATACTGCTATTTCTGTTCTTTCCTGATACGAGAGCTAGGAGTGAGTTCTGCTGTATATACCTAAAGCAAATTGTACGTTGCCAGCATTCTTCTTTTGAAGAAACGAATATGAACATGTGGTAAGAAACCTTACAGTATGTATAATGGTGTTGCCAATGACAAAGTGTATTTTGTCTTGCACATCGGTCTGGAAAATAAATTTTCTTATCTAATCTTTCATCAGGCCACGTGATGCTTTCAATTCTGTATAAAATATCTCGCTTCTGGGAAAAGTAATAGATGCTTATGACTGAGATACACAAAGTAGAGTGGGAACATGATGCAATACATGGTTGTAGTTGCCTCGACGTCCAGGCGTGGTTCATGAAAATGAACTGAAAATACTAGACTCTGTAGTTACTTAGCCATTTAAATTTTGCTATGATGCAGGGCAGTGTAAAATTACAGAAACAGTTTTTGTCACGTTTGCAGCAGCCTTTAGAAAGGATTTGGTTCTTGCCAAGAACTCTTCTTAGATTCAAAACTGCACAAACTGTTGCTCCTATTTTAACAATGAGATTATACACTTTACGTATTCAGAGATAGTCTTGTTACTTTGACTCACTGTATTTGGGAACATTTGTGGTGTGAAGAAAAACCAGAAAAGTCTGAAGACTGCAAATATCTAATGAATGTAGATAAAAACATCTCTAGGAGTTGTCAAGTATATTATATGTATATGTGGTAAACTAAATGTTTAAAATTATTCAAATGAAATGGTAAACAGTATATATTCATGTAATTCAAAAATGTGTGTCCAGAATTTTATTGACTGCAGTAGTCTCACTTAAGCCAGTGGGAGCTGCTTGGTAACCAGCTTTGTGCAGATGCCTGAATCAGAGGGGTCAGCCCAAATCTCTGTGTAAATTAATATTAACTGAGGTGATGTTGATACTGCTGCTCATTGTCGAGGGCCCAAATTTAACATTCACATTTTTATTTAGGAAATTAGAATTGAGGCTTTATTAATAAATTTAGATTTTTTGGTATCCAATGTGAAGACGGGGACAGGGGCTTTGTGCTTTTAAATGTTGGGAATAAGTATGTCAAAGCTGTTGGGCGCTTTTCTTTCTTTTTTTTTTTTTTTTTTTTTCTAGGTTTGAGGTCCTCTTCTGTGGCAATGTGTAGGAGTAGGAGAGACCTGAAGATCATCTTACGTCTCAGCTTGTCACAAACTGCAAGCGACAAAATGACCGTCAGGTAAAACCAAACCAGTCCCGCTTTGCTTTTCCCACCCTCGCTGACCTCGGAAGGTCAAAAGTCCAAAGAGGGCAGAAGGATGCACGGAGGTTTGGTTGTATCATGTCTGTGTGTGAGGAGCTTCCTTTCTACTCCAGTTTTTCTTTGCTGAAGCACGAGGTGTGAGTGGGTACGCGCTTGGTGCAGCAGGAGAGGTACCCTATGCATAAGGGAGAGGGCGTCTCTGCTTTGGGACTTCGGCAGCAGAACTGTTGCTGTCTTGGCAGAGGTTGGGTGTTTCAAGTAACGAGCTTTCCAACAGTGGCTGGGGCGATGGCGCGCATTTACTGCCCGCGTAAGCGGATGAGGTGGGGCGGCGTGAGGCTTGCTGGGCAGAGAGGGGTCAGGCGTCGGGGTGAAGGCGGGATGGCAGCATGTCGGCTGTAGCGTGGTGCGCAGGCAGGCTGTGAGGGTGGGAGGGCAGCGCGGCAGCGGGACGCCTCGTGTGGGGCAGAGCGTGGGGCAGCCGGGGGTTGTGTGGAGCCGTGAAGGGCGGGGAAGGGGCTTGGCTTGGGGGTGGCGGCCGCGG